GGGCCAGGCCGGGGATTGGGCTGAAACTGGCAGTCCAACATCCCCTAAGGGATATAGCAGTGCATGAAGCAGCAGGCAGCCAGGGAGGATCGCTCCTGCTCATCCTGGTCCCGCTGTGCCTGCTGCCAATGGGGCAGGAGAGGCTCATGCTGCTGCAGCTGCGTTAGCCAGTCATGAGCCTGGCTTATGGCTGAGTTCTTACATTGAGCGTCTGCCCCCTGGTGGTCAGTGTGCGTCATAGAGACCGGTTGACGAGTTATTCAGTCACTATAGGCTTTTATATATATAGACTAGAGGCCTGGTGCATGGATTCGTGCACCAGTAGGGTCCCTCGGCCTGGCCTGAGGGGATCAGTGGACCTCCATGCCGTCGCAGCCCAGCCTTACCCGCCAGCTCATCGGGCTCCAGCCCGTCCTTTGCCATTGCTTACTGCCTCAACCTCTGTCAGGCTCGTACAGTATGAAGTAGTGTGTGAAGTGGCAGGCAGCTGGGGAGGAGCCTGTGCAGTTCCCTTTCATCCCAGCCTCGCTGCACCTGCTGCTGCTGCTGCGGCTAGGTAGGCTTGCTGCCGCTCTGCTGTGATCTCCACATGCCTGCCCTAGGGTGATACCGGTGCACCCATGACCACGCAGCTGCCACTCATCATCACATCCTCACTCCCTGTGTGGCGCCGGAGAAGTGGCACGGGCTCACATCTGGTCAGTCTCAATCCCGGTCCCAGTCTGGATGGGGAAGGAGCATGCAGGGAGAGTATCTGCAGGAGAGACTCACTCCTCCACAGCTGCACTTGCCAGCCATGAGCCCTGTGTCTGGCACCTGTTGATCAGCTGAGCGCACTGACCAGCTGGAGGCAGCTCCTGCATTGAGCGTCTGCCCCTTGTGGTCAGTGTATGTCATAGCTACCAGCCGGTCATCTGGTCGACTGTTCACTTAAGCTTTTATATATGGGTAGGTTGTCAATTCTTCCCTGTAAAGTACAGTGCTACAGTAAACTTAGTATGTCTCCTACACATGTGTGATTTTCTTGGGGTATGTACCTGGGTCTTAGGGATGTGCATCATTCAGCTTCACTAACCATTGTCAAATTGCTCTCTAAAGTGGTGATAACAGTTTGAGAGTTCTCATTCCCTTCCACTCAATTCTTAATACTTGTTATTAAGTTTATAATTTCTGCCAATCTGAGGCACATGAGATAGTATCTTACTAGTATTTAGTTGACTATGAGTGAAGTTGAACATCTTTTCTAAATTTATTGACATTTCAGGTCAATTTTATCATGTCCTTTGCCCATTTTTTTTTGGACTGTCTGTCTTTTTTTTTTTTATTGACTTATAGGAACTAATTATATATCCTGTATAATAATTATGCCTCTGTTCATATGTGTTGCATATATATTCTTCCAGTGTATAAAAATATGTTTATACTAATAACATGTCAGAGTATAACTGAGAAAAGAATAGTATGCAAAATAAATGGGAACATTACAGTGTTCTGCAGACTTTTTGGCAATGGCATAACATGACGGTACTTTACCAGTACGGTGTTCGTGATAACATATAATATAGCTTTCAGATTTCTTATTAGATTTGAGGACAAAGAGTACATTCTGATAAAATAATTGACAGAACTTAATTTATCAGAAAAGTTGTTGGGATTTACTCCCTTTAATAAATATTCATTGCCCTAGCTGGTTTGCTCAGTGGATAGAGCACTGGCTTGCAGACCAAAGGGTCTCGGGTTCAGTTCCCGTCAAGGGCACGTATCTTGGTGGCAGGCTCTTCCCTAGCCCAGGCCCTGGTCAGGGCGCATCCAGGAGGCAATCAATTGATGTATTTCGCCGAAACCGGTTTGGCTCAGTGGATAGAGCGTCGGCCTGCGGACTGAAGGGTCCCAGGTTCGATTCTGGTCAAGGGCATGTACCTGGGTGTGCGGGCAACATCCCCACTGGGGGATGTGCAGGAGGCAGCTGATCGATGTTTCTGACTTTCTATCCCTCTCCCTTCCTCTCTGTAAAAAATCAATAAAATATATTTTAAAAAAAATTGATGTATTTCTATCACATCGATGTTTCTCTCTGTATTTCCCTCTCTTCCTTTCTCTCCAAAAGATCAATGGAAAAATATCCTCGGGTGAGGATTAACAATAAAAAAATCAATCAATTAATCTTCATTGACGTTTGCTCTAGTTAGTTCCGAACTACGTAGGAGGGCATGCTGAAATTTTCATTCCAGTAGCATTTGCCTTTTTTTTTCTTTTCAGTTTCAAAGCCCAAGGTATTATAGATGGTGTTGTTAATGATATAATGGACCATATACGCCCAGGTCCCTGTCGCTTGGATTGGGACAGCTTAATGACTTCATTGGACATTTTGGAGAACTTTGAAGAGGTATTTGTTTAGAAACATTACTTCAGATTGTGTGTGTGTGTGTGTGTGTGTGTGTGTGAGAGAGAAAGAGAGAGAGAGAGAAAGAGTGCATGTGTGTGTGTGTGGGGGGGGGGGAGTACCCATGTGGGTGTGAGCAAAGTACACACTTGCATTCATTGCTTTGAGAATAAGTAGTCATGGCAGAAGTCTCACAGGGGAATCCTTGCTGCTTTTTAAAAAGCTTGAGTTTTCTCATATTACCTAATGAGTCTTATTTTCTGAAATCTAAGATTTTAGAAGTTTATCTAAGATTTCAGAAGAACTGAGTTTATTTTCTGAAATCTAAGATTCTGAAAACACCACTATTATATTCAGGTTTCCTAGTAAATTGTATGTAAGTTTTCTGTTGAAGTCAAAATCAAAGACCAAAGATGTCACTCTGAACAAAGTGGCTTCCTGTCTTTTTCTATTTCTATTAATTTAGTTCTTACCATGTTTGAATTTATTTTAAAATATATTTTTATTGATTTCAGAAAGGAAGAGAGAGGGAGAAAGAAATAGAAACATCAATGATGAGAGAGAATCACTGATCAGTTACCTCCTGCATGCCCCATACTGGGGATCGAGCCCGCAAACCAGGGCATGTGCCTTGACCAGGAATTGAACCATGACCTCCTGGTTCATAGGTTGATGCTCTACCACTGAGCCATGCCAGTTGGGCTGAACGTCTTTATTGAATTATGTGGTGTTTTAGTGAATGTATTTGTGTATTTTATCTTAAACACCTAAGGGTTACACCACCTACTTCCATGTTGAACAGACCACTGGATGCAAAGTGACTATTGAATTAGAGACTTGGATATGAGGAAATATCTCTATATTTTTATTATATATCTTCTTCATGTGTATAGCAGCAGTGAGATTTAGAATAGAAATCTAAACCTGTCAGAATCACTGTAAGAATTATTACTACTAATTATAAGACATTTTAGATGAGTATTAGTTTTTTACTAAGGATGAACTTATGATATATGATTCTATGTATGTGTCCTTAGAGTAGGAAGTAACACCTGTTACCTTTTGTCCTTCAGAATTGCTGTGTGATGCGTTACACTACTGCTGGTCAGCTTTGGAATATCATTTCCCCAAGAGAGTTTGTTGATTTCTCCTACACTGTGGACTATAATGGAGGGCTTTTATCTTGTGGTAATGATCTCAAAACTGTATACTGTCTTTCAGTTTGTTTTAAATATTTGAGTTTTCTAGGCTGGATTTTTTTTCTATGCAAGATATGTTTTCATAATTATTTTATAATCCTAAGCTTTATAAATACTGAACCCTAGAGATTAAAATAACAATATCAAGAAGGATTCTGAAATTCAAGTTTTTGTTTCCAGTTACATGCTATCCTCCAGATCAGTGGTCGCCAACCGGTGGTCCACAGACCACTGGTGGTCTGTGAGTTCCGAAAGGTTGGCAGCCGCTGCTCCAGATCACAGCTAACAAACATGGATAACATGACTGCCTCTAAGAAAGAGATCCAGTAAATGAAAAATAGCTTCTTAGTCACACACACACACACACACACACACACACACACACAAATAGACTTGGTATGTGTTAGGGTGTTCTCCTTTTCTGAGTTGTGTACAATTTTACTTTTGAAACTAAAAATAGTGCTATTAGAAGGTTCCTGCTTCCTAAGATATATCTATAGGTAAGTTAATATGTTTTCTGTATATACTTGAGTTGCCAGTTGTAGTTAAACATCTATTTGTTTATTTTTGACCAGCTACTACCAAAGTTGGATACGGAGTGCCTGTGGAGACTGGTGGTACCATAGGTTTTTTTAAAAATATATATTTTTATTGATTTTAGAGAGGAAGAGAGAGAGAGAAACATCAATTATGAGAGAGGATCATTGATAGGCTGCTTCCTGCATACCCACTACTGGAGATCAAGTCTGCAACCCCAGGCATGTGCCTTGACTGGGAATCGAACCGTGACCTTCTGGTTGATAGGTCAACGCTCTACCACTGCCATACTGGCTGAGTCCATAAGTTTGTTATTGGCACCTTGAGGCCTGGATGCTACATCCAAGATTCTTTAGTTTCCAAGGAGTTCCCAAGATGACATGATACTATCCATTCTGAAGGGGTTAGAATTTTCTGCATTACCTGTCTTAGCTCCCCGTCAGAAATCTACTTGGTAATTATTCTTTTTCATTCTTCCATGGTCCCTCTTGGGGCTGAATTTTCATCTACAGGGATAACAAGACAAATACTGAAACAAGAAATCTAATATTTTAAATATCCAGAGTTTTAGACTTATGTCAGTCACTCCTATTAATAGTGTTATTTTCAAATTGCCTTGTAGGGGTCAGCCTTGACTGGAGTGAGAAGAGAGCAGAATTTGTTCGTGGATATAACCATCCCTGCGGTTGGTTTTGTGTTCCACTTAAAGACAATACAAACCAGAGTCTTTTGACAGGCTATATTCAGACGGATCTGCGTGGGATGATTCCTCAGTCTGCAGTAGATACAGCCATGGCAAGCACTTTAATCAACTTCTATGGTGATTTACAAAAAGCCTTATGAAAGGCATAAGACGTTTAAACTTGTAGTACTACGACCCTCTGAATTAACTCCTTCTTTCAGCTCCATGGCCTGTAAAAATCATCACCCTTTTCTCTCATCTGTATAGCTCGTAGAAAAATTTGAGATATTTTTGTGTTATTTTATTCCTAAAGTAAATAGCTGTCTAAGAGAGGGCATTGTAGTTTTTTTAAATAGTTATTTGCACCTTGTTTGGTATGGCAGTCTGTGTGTCTATGAATGGAGAGCATGACAGAAATCCACCCTGAAATAGGTGGATTCTTTGACTCAAACTCTTAAGAAAATGAATAGTGCCTCAGTATGAATTTTTTGGCTGCTTTGAATTTAGAGAGAGCACAAGCTTCATGCCGTTAGGTTAAAATAATCTATTTTAGAGCTCTATAAACATTTTGTAAAAGTTCTAATTTTTTTTTAAAGTTAAATATTAGTGCTTTAGTTTTGGTATGCTCTATGAGTTTGCCAATATCTTGACTAAAGAAAATGCTCTTTATATTTTATAAATATGAACCTCATTATCAACTGACTTGCACTGCTTTAAGTATTGAAAAGATCAGAAATAAATGGGTAGATATTATAGTAACTATAGAATCCAATCAAAAGCATTTCAATTTTGATACCTAGATAGCATTATTTTGTGAATATCTTTAAAAATATGATTGTTTTTTATGTGCATTTATTTTGGGAGTCTTAAAACATTTATGCATGAAACAGTACAAAAACTGCCATCTATGTAATGGGGATACACCATTGATTGAACAGTAGTCTGAGTTTTGTGAAGTGGCTGGTGGTATCCTGTATTTAGCAGCAGGGAATCATCTCTCTAGAAGGTCAAATTCAATGAATGTTCTGTACATGTTCCAGTTTTAAAAGTATCACTCAACTCATAAAATATTACTACTTCATAAACAGTCATAATTGTGATGAAACTTTTGTCTGGTACTGTAACAAATGCATTCAGAGAGTCATTTTGTAACTAGAATGAACAATAATAATTGGTCCCTTGATTCTATGGCTGCCTTAAAGGAACATTCTACATGATTTTAATATCCCAAATGACTCTGGCTTTTGAACTGTCCACCTAGTTTACTTCTAAAATAAGAACTTGAGGCATCTCAATGTGTCCAGGCAATTCTTTTTGTGTGTGTGGTTAATACAGGCAAATTTTTGCATGTATCTATTTGTGTATATGCACACATCTTGAAATCCATTTCAGTGTTCAGTGTGAGTTCTTTCTGCATTATTATTATTATCATTTTATTTCCTCTTTGTGTGTGTGGTTAATATGGGGTAAAGCGAACTCTGGAAATTCATGCCAGATAGACTACAAAAAGCATAAGAGCATATGGTGGTTCAGGTGCATGAAGGTTTGATCTGTGTTTTACTTCACTATGTTTACCTGAGTGTAAAGAAAGCCTAGATCCTCAGACCCATTTTGATAAAGTGAAAAAAGTTGAGCTGGTTTTTGTCTTTATTTTTTTGCTATTAGCAATGATGTTAAAAAAAATAAATAAATAAAAGGTTGTAGTACTACATTATCCATGGTGAATATCTCACAAGTTTTCGATTGAAAATAATTTGTTTCAAGAACTGACAGAAATGATGTGTAAATGATCCTATTTTCTTAACTTGAAATTTATTAATTAATTTTTTTTCTAAATTGGAACTTGAGTTGCTGGATTTTTCTCCCACTTTTTTCTTCTTCTTCTTGTAATAGGGAAAAAAACATCAGTAGTTTAATTTTTAGCTCCCCACGGAAATTTATTAAATGTTAGTTTTCAATAAAAAAAAAAAAGAAAGAAATGTTAGTTTTGACTTTATGTATTTTTTTATTTGGTTTTATTAGTGTAGAGTAGGAAGTTTCTTATATTTAGGTATTCTGTCTAAGATGGAGAAATACCAACAGATAATCAGTTATAAGGTGCCCAGACTGGGTAAAGGATTTGCAACAATATTGTATATAAGGGCTGTGATTGCCTGATATGGGAACCCCTAAACACAAATGAACTGTCCATTCTCAGTTACTCTAATGTTCCCTTTGTCCTATTCCACTTATACCTCTGGTGAGTGATTACATAATCCACTGTTTACTGTGGACCAACTGCAAGTAACAGGATACTCATAGAAAAATTCTCATTGCAATATTGAGTCATAGGGATTGAAAATTTATATTCGAATTACCTAAAATTTATATGCAGCTTCTAAATGGCACTTCAGATCTACTGGGCTCTAGCTGTATACTTAAAAACAAACAGCTTTATTGGATTTATATGCTACACAATTTGCCGGTTGTAGGTATACAGTCCAGTGATTGTTTAGTTCATTTATAGTTGTACAACCATCATCACAATCATTTTAGAACATTTTCATCTCCCACAAAGACTCCTTTGCCTGTTTGCAGACTCATAACTAGCCAAAGTTTAGCACAGTTGCCAGTATACAGAAGATGATGAAAAAGATTATAGAATAGGATTTGTTTTGTTTTTAAGAGTAGAGTTGTATTTGAATCTAAGCTCAGGAACCTTGTGTTAATATATTGAAATATGTTATCTCAAGTACCACAATGATAAGAATTTAAGGATGTGGGTTGGGATTAAAGAGTCTGCTGTTTCTATAGCATTGCTGTAGAATAGAAAAATAATGTGAAGCCATATGTCAGGGGTCCTCAAACTACGGCCCGCGGGCCACATGCAAATACAAATATTGTATTTGTTCCCGTTTTGTTTTTTTACTTCAAAATAAGATATGTGCAGTGTGCATAGGAATTTGTTCATAGTTTTTTTTTAAACTATAGTCCGGTCCTCCAACGGTCTGAGGGACAGTGAACTGGGCCCCTGTTTAAAAAGTTTGAGGACCCCTGCCATATGTCATTTTAAATTTTCTAGCAGCAATATTAAAAAAATAAACAGCTGGGGTTAATTTAATAATATAGTTCATGTAATTCAATAGATCCCAAATATTATCATTTCAACATGCAATCAATATTAAAAATCATTTAGCTGTTTTATATTCTTTTATATGAATGCCTGGTGTATATTTTCTAATGTGGACTTGCCACATTTAAGTGCTCATTATCCACATGAGGCCAGTGGCCTGTACTGAATAGCACAGTTCTATGGTATATGTATTAACTTGCTATTCTATAATATGAAGTAGAGAATTTCATGGAATTACTCTTAAATACAAAATCTTTTCTGATTACCAGAGCTTTCAGGGTTTACTAAATTGGGACTGCTAAACATTAGAAATAAATCACTTAGTAGTTGTCAATAAAATAAAAATGATAGCCCTCCCAAATTTCCTTTAAAGATAACTTTTCATAGGACAGTTGATGAAAGCATATAATCTGCCTTGTTATCATGTGGTTGATTATTTTCTCTTGCTTATAGCTAGTTTGTATTAGAAACGTGTATACAGGAATACTACTTGACATAGCACTGTTTTTAGTACATGGTACTTATTTTCTTTAAGGATATTAATTTCGTACTAGAAAAGGTAATTTATCCTAAGTGATACTTTTGCATGAAATCTAGTTTTATTGGTAACTATTGATTGGTTAACTCTTGATGTTTGACATAATAATCAGCAAAAATAATTATGAGAATTTAGTGTTCTGCAGTTATGTATAATAGAAACTTCTACAGTATTACAGGGGTTGTAAATGTTAAAAAGAAATCTCTTCATTTCACTGTTCATTGAGATTGGGTATATTTGAAATTGTAGATTTCAGTGTCTGAAATCGTCTCCCAGTAAAAAAAGCTTTTAGGTCTGAGTAATTCCCTTTGTTATAGATAAAAGTTTTACCTGTTTCCTCAAGAACACACTAGCATCCTTAAAATACGTTGTTAAAATTCAGTGTCTTTTTTATTCAGTAGGTGCTGTAGCTATCCCAAACCAATGGGTAAATGAATAGAGCCCAGGGAAGGTTGGAGAATGGGCCAGACTTCCATTAGAACCTGTATTGTGTAATTAATTACCTATCTGATGTATCTGCCTTGCCTTTTATTTTATTTTTTTTTACTTTTATCCCTTGCCTTATTCAGCTTCTTGAGGTAGGGGATGGTGGGATCTGAGTATGAAAGAAACATTAAATTAATCCCAGAACACAGGAAATTGGACTTATGATGTCTTCATTATTTTGTTGTTTCCAAAGATTTTTACATGTATAATTAAATAAAAATTCATCTCTTGCAATTCAATAAAAGCTATACTATATATAGATTTTATTTTTAAGATATTTTATAATTCTTTTATGAGCCAGTCTGTAAAACTAGAGCCTTTATTATATTAAAAGTATGTGTTAATATAAATAAAATGTATATTTTAAAAATCAGAATAAAATTTCTAGACTCATGTAATTTATCATTGATATAATCTGTACAAGTTGCTTTAATCTTAAATATTAACAAATAGTTTCATATATCTAAACTTAAAGTGTATAATTTAACTTTCTGAATTCTTCCAAAAGGATACATATAAACTGGAAAATAAAGATTACTAACACCGATGGTAACTCCCTCCAGTATCTCATGTAATATTAGATACAATACTTCTGAATCTTGATGTGCCGTTATATAGCCAGGATGTTGATGAATTATTGTGTGCCTTTACTACAGTAACATATGGATACTGTAATATTTGTTGTACATATGTTTAAATAATTGTGTTAATTTGATTAGGAATTATGGTGATAATTTTATTTGGAGTTTTACAAAGCTAGAAGAGATTATAAAGAAGTGCTTGATCTGTGCTATGAATACCGTGGATAGTGTGCATTAGAAAATATGACTATTAAATGGTTTAAACAAATAGAGTTATTTTTCTCAGAAAAAAAGCTGGATATAGGTAATTGTTAGTTTTTATTTATCAGCCAAGAATTCAGGGCTTTTGACTCAGTTCCTCCTCATTTTTAACTCACAGTGTTGAGGTGACTGACTAGCCGTGGACATTACATGTGTACTCCAATCAGGAAGTAGGGGAAGGCATGACACCAGTCATCTGTGCCTTTTATCCAGAAAGCAAAAGCTTTCCCGGAAGCCTCCAGTAGTTTTTCTTTCCAGTAGTCTGGGTAGCATGACTACTAGCTGTAACTGTGGCTGGAAAAGCAAGCATAAAGATTTCCAGCCTTTTGGAGAGATGGTATAAATCTGGATAGCCAGCCATAGCATCAGTGGATCAGCTCTGGGAAGTGTGTATAAGTTTCCTTCAGATGTCAATAGGAGAGTGACAGACTCCCAAAATAGAAGTGACAATAGCAGAGTAGTCGTTCACTTCTTCATGAAACATTTACACCTTAATTGAGGTAGTGAGGTGATGGAGCATCCTCTGTAGGTTAATGGCTAGTGTCACATGACATCCAACATGAATGATCTATGTTTGTATTACATCATGTTCCTATTCCTCAGGAGCTAAGGGCCCACTATAGATGAAGGCTCCTATAGCCGGAGGTAACAGCAAATGGATGGAAAATGTGAACTGCACGTGTATCCCAGGAGAGAGGGTACATCCACACTGTGTTATCAACTGCACAGGTGGTTTAGTGGAGTGTAGTATTCTTTTTTTTTTTTTTTTAGTTATAAGAACATTTTAGGACGTTGTGGAGGTAGTAGAATTGAGCCAGTTGGGCTGTGTAGGCTCAGGAAACAAATTACAGAGGCAGAAGGGCTCTTGGAGCTTAGAGAGAGAGACAAAGGCGATGCACCTCGGTGGGAAGGGGAAGGGAGAGGTGCTTTCCGAGGGACCACGGGTTTTGTATTCTCACAAAATACTGGAGCAAGTCTAGTGTGCAGGCACCAAAATAGGCTTTTCACTCATTTGCATGGTATTTTTCAGGAGCTTTACTTTCCTACTTAGGTTTTGCTTTAGTGACATCCCTGAAGTGACAGCTGATTTTTTTTGTTAAAGGAAATAGTCCAGGGATTGTGCAAAACGAGGTTGAAATAACATGTTTCATATAGTCAAAATGGACTTGCGGTTGGAAGAAGTTTTTGTTTTTCTCAAGCACTTGCCTCAATTAAAATGTCATTTATTAGGCTACATGTGTCTTTTCAACAGAGTGAGGATTTGGTATTCAATGGTAGTAGCAAGCTGCGATTCTGAGGGTAAGTCTGCTGTCATATGTGGCTCTCAAATCCTTCACACAAATGATTGCTAATTGAGTGGCTGAGCTTAAGAAGGACTTTCAGATCTTTACAACTCATGTGGCTAACCACCAGCTTCGTAAGAGTGCGGTTTTGTCCCTCTAGTACTCAGGTCCTGTAAATTCTAAAGCCTCATCATGAAGTGACCACTGAATAGCACTTGGTCTAAATAATACTAATTGCACATTAGGATTATGTCCTTAGAATAGGTTTCCCCAAACACAAAAGGGGATTTGTGTAGTGTTACTGAGAAAAACTCCACAATTGAGACTGCATTATTATGCAGCTATCATAAATGGGGAGATTCTGCAAAAAAGGTGCTTTAGTGCCAGGTTGATACCAAAAAATCCTCTGTAATAAAATCCTAGGTGGCATCGTGCGATGTCACAAGATGGCCACTGCAATGTCATCACAAGATGGCCGGCAGGGGAGGGCAGTAGTGAGCCATTAGGCCAGAGGGGAGGGCAGTTGGGGACGATCGGGCTGGCAGGGGAGCAGTTAGGTAGCGATCAGCCTGGCAGGCAGAAGTGGTTAGGGACAATTAGGTAGGCAGGTGAGAGCTTAGGAGCCAGCAGTCCTGGATTGTGAGAGGGTGTAGGCTGGGCTGAGGATTGCCCCCCCACTCCCTCCCCCCACCCCCTGTGCACGAATTTTGTGCACTGGGCCTCTAGTTACAATATAATTACAAGTCTGGAAGAAAAAATAAACAGGAAAAGAATGCTTCCCTTTGAAAGACATTATGATGTTAATTTTCTGTATTTTCAAATCTTTACAATGAAAAATCAGTTTTCATATGAATTGTTGCATTTACCTTGTGCCCTGTGAACTGACTTTCCAGTAGTGAGAGCACTAGGTTGGGCTAGGACAGTGGTCAGCAAACTGCGGCTCGCGAGCCACATGCAGCTTTTTGGCCCCTTGAGTGTGGCTCTTCCATAAAATACCAACTTCTGTACATGGGCCACGAAGTTCCAATCGCACTGTACGTGCGCGCCTGCATGTGGTATTTTGTGGAAGAGCCACACTCAAGGGGCCAAAGAGCTGCATGTGGCTCGTGAGCTGCAGTTTGCTGACCACAGGGCTAGGAGATGGGCAGCCTAGGTCTCTTCTCAGCCACTAACTGTGACCTCAGATAAGGCATGTCCTTTCTGGGTGTCATCTCTTTAACAAAATGACCGTGTTAGGTTAAATGATTACTGAGTTCCCTTTTTAACATTATGGTGTTAGGATTTTAATGACATCACTGTATAGTGTTTAGAAATGCTATGAAATGAAATATATAATTTCATCCAAGAGAATGGGAAAACACTCAAGGAATGATTCAACTCCAGATGTAAGGAAAACATCCATTGTGTTACTCTTGTGGTAACATTTCAAAGCACAGAATGCACAGTTTTGGTGGGCTCCTAGATGATTTATTATCATACTGTACATGCAGATTGCTTTACAGATTTCCCAGCAGCAAGATAATCTGCTTCTTTTGGCATGTTTTT